CTCTCTCTCTCTCTCTCTCTCTCTCTCTCTCTCTCTCTCTCTCTCTCTCTCTCTCTCTGGACAACAATTTGAAAAAAAAATAATAATAACAACAACAACAACAACAACAACAACAATTATTGTCGTTTCTTCCATCTTAAAATCGCCCGATAAATGTTCCTCCTCTTCGCGGGACGAAAGGAGAACAGCCCGATCGTATCCTTTTTTATCCGCGTTGTTTATGATTAGACAATTTTTTTCTTTTTTTTTTTTTTCCCCTCTTTTTTTTCTCTCTCTCTCTCTCTTCCTTTTTCCCTTCCGAATATCGACTTTTCACAGCTCTCTCTCTCTCTCTCTCTCTCTTTCCAGCAAAGCAAATTTGTTCGAGGCGATTGACAGGGCAGGATACCTAAAATCTACCTAAGACAGAAATCGGTGGAAAAATCAGTTGGTCCCTTTTTTCAAAGTGTAAAATAAATTAAATCCGTCCGCATTGTTTCCTATTACCTACTACATTAAAACGGTAAAACGGTATTATTATTATTATTATTTACACATTTGTGAGATTGTTTTGCGCGCGATCTGAGGTAAACGAGAGGTTCTTTTTCTTCTTCTTCTTCTCCTCCTCCTTCTCTTTCTTCTCCTCTTTCTCCTTTTTTTGCTGCGGCTCTGTTGTGTGTCACGTGACGCGAACGGGAAGCGTTTTTTTTCTTAACAAAGCAATATTCCCTCTCTATCTTCCTTGCTCGAATAAGTAAAGACGCGACGAGAGAAGGATGCGTTTCGAATTCACTTTGCGCGAATAATACACTCTCTATGTATGCATGTATGTATGTATGTATGTATGTATGTATACTTTGCTCGATCGATCGATAAATTATTACGGCGCTCTTTTATTTGCGGTCACAAACGGTCGTAATTGACTCTCTTCGCCTCTCTTCGTTTCATATATATATATATATATATGTATATATATATATATATATTTATGTATCTTTTCTATCTTTTTCTTCTTCTTATATTTTTATATATACTTTATTCTCGTTTCTTTTTTCGACTCTTTTAACGTTTCCTTAACGCGAGGAGACCGTTGAACATTAGTCCGACACACACACACACTTCCGATACACGAATCCGTCGATCGCCGGAAATATGTTATTTGGTCAGAGTTACTGGTCATCGCTTATTATAATAATAATAATAATAATAATAATAATAATAATAATAATAATAATAAATAATGTGCCGAATTCGTTGCATCGTTTTCGAGTATAATTTGTTGAAATCGTTCGCGAAAACGACGTAACGCTTTTCTCTATTTTTTTCTTTTTTAATCGTGAAAGACTCTTCCGATGCTTCTTAACGGCTCCTGCCGTTATTTCTCTCTTGAAGAAAGGGGGGAGAGGAGGGAAAAAAGATTCACGAAAAGTTCGTCGAAAAAATATGATTTAGAATTTATGAAAATTTTACGAGCGCGCGAGTTTATCCTCGGAGAAAATTGTTTTGGTAATAATAATAATAGCAACGAATACTCTCGAGATCATCTCGAGATCGATATATTCAAAAATATGGCGAAGGAGGAGACCATTATTATTATTATTATTATCATTATCATTATCATTATCATTATCGTATCTCGTCGATCACGGAAAAGTTGTTGAATTCACTTGAAAGGCACTCGCGCGTTTATTACTTCTCCCTGATATCCGAATTCG